CTTTTCAACCCACACCATTCCACGATTCTATGATATATAGTCTAACAAATATATAGCTTTTGCAGAAATAGGTCCTTATGGCATCAAGTTGTTAGGCTTGAAACCTGTGGGAGTTGTTTCTTACTTGTTTTGGATGCTGCTTTTTAGTAAAATGGTGGACATTACAGAGGAAGAAATGTCTGTTTTACTGTTTGGTTTTCCATGGTGCTTTTCTTCTCCCTCTTGTCTCTCAGTATCCACAACTGCTTGGCTGGTTCCACTGCTGTTTCAGTTCCAGCAATTCTCTTCTAGCTCTCCTCCCTTTCAGCTTTGCAGCCAGGACAGGGCACTTGTGCATAACAGCTGCCTAAGCTTTGACTGGTGACCATGTTCAAAGGTCATATAAAATACGATGAAAACAATAAAAGCAGTACAGAAATAGTCACAGGAAAACCTTGAGAGTGTGGTTCTGCCACTGTAAGAAATTAAATAGAAGGTGTCATGGCTGTAGGATTTATTTTGTCTTTTATCATCCAGGCAGTATGCAGGACTGAAGTAATTCCACAGCTGTTCTTTACATGCCTGTAAGTCATATTACCGTTGGTCCTCACAATTAGCGCATGAACAACACTTGTAAGAATATTTTTATAATAAAGTGGTGTGAAGTTAATGCAGGCTAGTAAGTCTGGAGAAATAGCTATGTTAATTCCGTAGGAGCTCACAGCACCGTTTAAAAGGTCTAGTGAAGATCCAAATGAACCTTAGCCTTTATTTTTTACATATTAAAGTCATTTAATCAGCAGTTTCTATAGACAGAGTAGCTAGTTGGTACTCAAGGATTTACCTATTTGTACTGATGTCAGACATATTCACTGGCAAAACTGTGTATTTACCATGAATATGTTATTTTATTTTCCTGAACATGGCAGGAGCAAGCAGAAGGCAGTTTCTGTTTGTGCGGTTCTCAAGCTGTCCCCATATCTTCCATGGACTATATTTCTCTTCAGTCTTCCCCACAATGTTTGTCACTCAGGCTTCTTGACTCTTGTCAAGTGTCCTGGCACCTTAAATAGCATAAATTGAGCCTGATGAGAAATATGAATCCATAAAATGTGAGAGAGGATTGATGATTTAGGCAGATCACCTTCCCGATCCAGTTTACCGCATTGCCGTGTGAATGCTTGTGCTAGCGCTAAGGGGACATTATACATGTGGGAATGAATGGCAGAGGACTGGAAAAATCATAGTAGGGCTTCTACTGGCACACAGTAACTGTGGATCTGTGCTGACACAGGGAATGGGTTCACAATACAGCTTTAGAAGAATTAGCCATTCACCACCCTGGCTGCTGGGAGACCCATTTTCCCTGTTCCTCTTCCTGGATGTGTGCTCCTGCCACTTCGTTGAGCCTGCCTAGCACATGTTGAATTGCTTGGTGAACTAATACAACTCACTAAAATGCCGGGAAATCACCATGACAAAAGAACGATGAGTTTTTCCTGCTAGGTTAGTGGTTTGAATCAGTCTAACGTTATCAGTTGCATAGCTGTGATGAAAACAAGGGTGGGAGGGGGGAGAGCAGGGAGAAGATATACTCCTTTCTTTTGGCATTAGTGAGCACTTAATTCTGCTCATCTGCATTCACAAAACCATATTCACATTCTGTACTGGGGCTTGCTGAACTGGTTTAAGCAGCCCCCACAACTACCATCTTTCAGATGCTTATTGCTGTCCCGGTGTTGACCTCTGTGCTTTGTCTAAATTGCCAGGGCAGCAGAACAGCTTGGGAAACAAACACCACCTTTTCCCCCAGTGTTCATCCTGCTGGCAAATATGCACAGAGGAGCAGTAATTGTAGGGCAGATACGGGGGACTGTCCCCATGCTGTGGAACTGCCGCACCACATGCAGTTCACCAAGTAGTCTGCTAGTGGCAGTTTGCAAATGCTGCTGACTGTAGGTTAGCTTCTGCTCAGGTTTTGCCTCGCGTTGTCAAAAGAGCAGCTGCTTCTGCTCTTCCTAGGTACCATGGCCTTCACTGTATATTTAGCTTGGACATGGGGCTTTGGATTCAGGTATTAGTCAAAGAAGGGCTTGAGTGCCATGGTTGTTGCAGTCTGCTTGGAACTACGTAGTATCTGAGCATTGTTAATTGAGCATAACATTGAGCATTGCCATCTAGGGCACTGTATCTGCATTGATTCTCATTTATTTCCCTCTGCCCCAGCAAAAGCTCCCAAATCTCTCAAAATCTGTTTAGTGGAAACCCTGTTCCCTCCTGAGCTCTAGCCAGAAAAAACAAACACCTTTTTGAAACTCATTTACAAAGACCTTCACAGCCCCTTGTTGCTCCCATTCATCAGGGACTTACAGGAGTAATGGGTTTAAACATAAACAGGGGAGGTTCAGGTTAGATGTAAGTAAGAAGTTCTTTACTATGAGGGTGGTGAGGCACTGAAGCAGATTGCCCAAAGCAGTGGTAAATGCTCCATCCCTGGTGGTGTTCAGGGCCATGTTGGACAGAGCCTTGGGTGACATGGTCTAGTGTGAGGTGTTCCTGCCCATGGCAGGAGGTTAGAACTAGATAATCTTAAGGTTCTTTCCAACCCAAACCATTCTAGGATTTTATGATTCAGTCATTTTTATTGAGGACTTTTGTTATAGAAAAGCTCATTTGCTTTCTGTTCACTGTTGTCAAAGGGAAGCCGTCTTTCAGGAAGGCTTTGTAGTCTGAAACTGAGTGGAAACATACCACCCTTACCTTGAGCCTTGGCATTCTGAGGGAAGAAGGGCCTAGTACTATGGTCATTATGTATCGTGATTTCTGTATTGCACTGCCAGCTGGTTTTGTTAAATAAGGTACTAAGTCACACTGTTGTGCTGCACAATAGAGAATTTGCTAAAAAAGATGCATGTCCAAGAGAAAGGAAAGTTTCAGGTTTGTGTCAACAACGAAAATTACGAGTTTCAACTGAAGGAGGAGGAAATCAGGTTAGATCTGAAAAGATTAGATAGGCTCAGGCAGGGAGAGCAGACTATTGAACCAGGTATGATTTTGAAAGTAAACAATAAAGATAAATGAATTCCAGTGAGTGGATTTCAGTGTATGTAAAAGAGCAATAAAAAAACCCAGTAGAATAACTAAGCTGAGTTTTACTTGCGATTGCACAAATTGTTCAATGCAAATTCTAAGTTGAAGTCTTACAGGATATGTACTCCTGTGATCATGATATAGACAGTACTGGTCTTGGCACGATATAACACACAAAGGAAAATCATAACAATGAGGTATAGGTTTTGAACCTCCTAAGGTATTTTTGTCCCCCTTATCCTGGCTTGGTACTGGAAAAACTGTCTTCATATAATAAAATAACTAGTTGAGCAGTCCCAATATGCTTTCTGGTATGCGGTGAGTATGCACTTACACACTGAAGATGTTATTTCCACATAACCTCCATGTGTCCCCTACTAGTAAATTTAAAAAAAAAAAATAAAAAAGATATATATATATAATGTGGATTTCTGAGTTACCACTCTGGTTGTGAGGACTGAAATGTAGGAACTGCAATAAGGTTACTCTTACACAAGTAAGATGCAGGAGCTAAGTATGAGAATTTTGTCTGAAATTGTCCTCAGCCTGTAAAGGAGCACTGAAAGGCACTTCAGAATTACTTTTTTAAGTGCAACTTCTTTTCCTGCTTCCAGAGTTCTGCAAGAGGATAGAGGAATAGAATGTAAATAGACTTGTCTAATCAAACTTTTCTGGTTTGATTAGACTCCTGTGCAGCTCCATAAGCAACAGCAACAAATGGGAGTGCCAGTGCAAATAAAGCACCAGGGGTTGCCAATGTTTTTATTCCTGGATCCCATACTTCTGCCCTGACCATGGTTAGGAAACATGGGGTGCCACCCACTGGCATCACTGGTGGGAGGTACATGAGGGAGGAGGTAGGAATCATTTTTTATGAACAGGGGACCAATGTAGGTGTTGTTGCTGCATCAAAGCTTTCTTCCATGGATCTTCCTGATTGTATGAGCATGTTTCTGTGTACAGGTTGGTACGTCTGTGCTTGTATCTGCCTTGGGCATGCACATCATTTAAGTGTAAGTGTGCATTTCTAGTGAACATCTGCAGAAAGCAAAGCTGTTAGCTACTGTTAAGATGGAGCTTGGACTGTTTATGACTCAGATTATACAACATGATTGCTGGCTAGTGGTCCTGAAGTCTGCTTTCCTGTGCTGCTATCTTGTCTGTTCTTATGTGTATTTTGTATCTGAGTGTAATCTGAGAGTGAAAGAAGCTAGGATCTATGGTTTTATGGTTAATCCTCTGTATTTTTGTGTAAAAGCGTGTGTATGTGTCATAGCTAAGTTAGGTTGATTTAGTATGCTTACTTTCAGAGTGCACCTGCAAAGCTTGATGTTATTGCTGTATTACTGCTGCTTTGACTGGATTCATGTTGTAGCCACACTGTGAGTCCATGTCAATTTGCTAGCATACAAAGAATCACAGGAAATAAGAAATTAAATAGACCTTTTGTAATACCTTGAAGTGCAGATATGTTCCATTTTCCTCTTTCTGCTGCCTCTGTTGTGCAACTAATCAAGCGTAATTTCACCCATCAATTAGATCAATTAGAACAAACTGTTTAATATTTCATCCATCACTGACTTCCGTAAAGTCATATTCATACCAGTAGGAATGCCATATATTATTATTAACATTTGCCATTGCGGTTAATTGCCTTGAATTCATAGCTGAAAATAAAGTAAGTACTTAAAAGGATAAGAGTTCCGATGCCTATAAAACATTCTAGATTATACTGTTTGTGAAGCTGTTGACTTAATTTTTTGGCAATGTTTATAAGTAGCAGTGCCTAAATGTATGTGCCTTGCCTTTCTGTCAGTCATCACTATTCACCACATATTGATTGATTTATTTTATTTTTTTTTTTTAGTTTAGAACTAGTAGTCCAGGTCCTCTGCTGGTGTTCCACATGTTATGCTTCAGATTAGTTGTGGGCCTGGCAGTGTTAAAGGAGCCCTATGAATTTTTTGCATGTATGCCAGCCTTCAGGCCTAGGCATAACTGTTGGCTTGTGAAGCACTCTATAACAATCTTAATCTTAAATTCTCTCTGGTCATGCAGTCTACCGTTCATAGGATTTGATACTGGATGTCCCGTATCAATCTCTAAGTCTCAAAGTCCCAGTGGTGCTTCTTGACACAAGAACTGATCATAAAGAGTAGAAAGCTCCACATTCAGCTTACTTGTTGCTTCATAAGTCATTCTTTCTTGCAGTAAATTTAATTAATATTCTTTGTGTCTGTGCAGAAGACAGAAGTTGGAGACCTACTTGCTCATAATTGAACATGGCAGGGGATGTAAAAAGATTCACACGCATGCTGCTGGAATGCAACAGCAATGACAAACTGTGTGGTAAGATTCCCAGATTCCTTAAGTAATAACTTTCACATGCTGAGCAAGAAGTCCAGCTTTACTAGAAAGTGGGCCAAGCCCTTTCCACTCCTCCACCTGCATCCCAGCCCACAAAGATTTCACTGATCTTTCCTTGAATTGTATCTCAAGGGAGAAACTTTTAAAGGGATGCAGCCTTTGTGGTGGGATTCATCGCACATAATTTTAGCCATTTTAGAGTATCTTTGCCTTCAATAAGACACAGTCATTAAAGATTCCCTGCAGCTTCCCTAGGGACCAGTCTCGTGAGATTTTGATTTCATGACTTTCTGTCATCTTTGGGAACTGAAACATGGTCTTGGCCTATGCAAAAATAGCATCATCTCCAAATCTGGGGCATAAGAGAGTTAGTTACTTGCAACATCCTTGTTAATTGTAATGTCCACACCTTGTTTTCTTTAAAATGTTTCCTGTAATTTTAATGTAAGGAGCTGAAGCTGTAATTGCACATGTATTTGTGATGGCATAGCAATATTCAGCCCTTCACATCTCCCTGCTGTCCCTTTGCCAGGGGCAGTTCTGTTGCACTAGTGGATACTTACACATGGCTACAATTTCCAGCCTCTCTATTACAGCATCTACATAAAAGACCTCAGGTGTGGGAGTCCCAGTGGATTCATGCAGTTTAGATACTCAGCACCTTTGAAAAATAGGGTGGCAGCACTAACAGTGTTCAGTTGCTGTTCCAAGAGGCAGAGGATAGATAGAATTTGGGGATTGAAAGTTACTGAAATATGCTGTGACTGTTCTGTTACACAGAACCAATGTGCATGAGGAAACGCTGCTTAGTCCTCGTTTTCCCATTTTCTTTTGATAGTTGTGCGTGAATATCAGACTGAAGTGATTGTTGTCCCAGTTCTCCTTGTGGGTGTTTTTGTCATCATGCTAACTGTGATACTTTGGCTCCACTGCCGAGGCTTGCGAGCAAAGCAGGAGCAATCTGGACACCAAGGTAAAAAACTTCTTTTCAACCACAGGAGTGAGTGTTCCTGTCAGTGGCCAGAAGGCAATCCCTTCTCTTTATTGCTTGAGTCATTAGGCAATAGCATTTATAGAATCACAGAATCAACTAAGTTGGAAAGACCTTTAAGATCATCACTTCCAGCCATTCTCCAGCACTGCCAAGGCCACCACTAAACCATATCACTAAGGTCTTTGTCTGCACGGTTTGTGAACACTTCCAGGGACAGCGACTCCACCACTGCCCTGAGCAGCCTGTTCCAATGCCTGAGCACCCTCTCCGTGAAGAATTTTTTCCTAATATCCAGTTTAAACCTCCCCTTGGCACAGCTTGAGGCCGTTTCCTCTTGTCCTGTCACTTTTTATCTGGAAGAAGAGACTGATCCCCACCTCACTACAACCTCCTTTCAGGCAGTTGTAGAGAGCGATAAGGTCCCCCCTGAGCCTTCTCTTCTCCAGACTAAACTTCCCAGTTCCCTCAGCCGTTCCTCATCACACTTGTGCTCCAGACCCTTCACCAGTTCTGTTGCCCTTCTCTGGACCCACTCCAGCACCTCAATGTCTCTCTTGTAGTGAGGGGCCCAGAACTGAACGCAGGATTTGAGGTGCGGCCTCACCAGTGCCCAGTACAGGCGGGTGATCACTGCCCTGGCCCTACTGGCTGTGCTATTGCTGATACAGGCCAGGACGCTGTTGGCCTTGTTGGCTGCCTGGGCACAAGCTGGCTCAGGTACAACTGCTGTCAGTCTGGCCTGAAGACCTGAATGGTGTTCAGCAATTGAGTGAAAAGTAAAAAAATGGAGAGCCCTGATTTATACCACTTGCAGTAGTAGTAGTGGAATCTGTAGTATAGATGGATCTGAGAAAACTTAAAGCAACATATCATATAGACTGTTTAACACACTCTGGTAACTAACATACCTCAAGACCTTCAAAGTGTGTTTATGTAATAGCCTTCTAGATGCTACTGCAAAGAGAGTTATGAATGTTATGAATGACAGCTGTTTTGGTGTAGGTCACACCTAGTTAATCCATTTTCTACCCTGTCATTTAAGAAAAATGTCAAGCTCCTGTCTCCCACTTCCTGTGGAGACAAGAAGAAATAGAACAGGGACTGAGAGAGAGGGGGGGTAGGGAAAGGTTTGTAGATACCAAAAAACACATGGTGCAGAAATGAAATTCTGTGGAACTGAACGTGGAAATGAAAATCCAGTACTGAATTGATTTTGGTTTTGTAGAGGAAAAAGCCTCTTCAGCCTATATTAAGGGAAATAATTGAGAACAAAGATAACACCCTGTGGAACAGCCTGTGCGTGTGACTTCTGTAACAGCTGGTAGCTGGTAATAAAATGGTCATTGCTTCAACACAAGGGAATCAAGTACAAATGTGTCTTACCTAGAAAGTTTAGATGTTAAACATAGGAACGATCTCCAGACTCATTTTACCTTTTAATCAAATAGATTTGGAGATAAATTCCCTCTCCTCTTCAATGGCCAGGATAAGTAAGATACAATAACAGTTCTTTACTTTGTCCTGATTTCCAGTACACTGTGGGGTAAAAATTAGAGGCTAGAAGGGCAAGCATTGCCACCTACTACAAGAGTTCATCTGTCTGGTTTTATGCATCATGTGTATTTGCTTTTGTCAGTGAATGACAAGAATCAGCAGGAATACAGCTCAACAGAGAGCCGCTGTATCCAGCTGAGTGAGATGTCTGTGGAAAGCCTGCTAAATTCTGCATCCTTGACTCTGAAAGAACTGGAGATACCACGAGAGAAACTCTTACCAGGCACTTGGCTGCTGATAAAACATGGTCGCTATGGGAGCATCTACAGAGCACAGCTGGAAATTGGGAGCCCCAGGAAGACTAAGACAGTAGTACTGAAAGTCTTACAAGGTAAGGCACACGGCCAGGATCTCCGTATCAAAGACATGATATTGAGCAGAACTTGCAGTCATTGCTGGACAAGACCAAGCTGTGTTGAGTATCATGTTAGCTAGTCTGAGTAGCAGTTTTGATAGGAATGTCTTGGTCGGTCTAAAGAAATTGCTGTTCATGTTGATTTTAAGCTGTTCTTTGCTTCCTCCATTTGGTAGTATAGTGGGGTTTTTTGCGGGGGGAGGAGGTTGGTTTTGTTTGTTTGATTGGTTTGGGTTGGGGTTTTTGTTCTTTCAGACCTGGCTAGTCCCCAGAAAGTAAAGGATTTCCTGGGAAGGATTAAATTCCATCAAAATCTTGGCCATCATGAGAACCTGGTTGAATTGGTTGGATGCTGTGTAGGTCAGCTCCCACTTTATATGATCATGGAAGATGTCTCTCTTGGTGACCTATTGACATTTTTATGGACGTGTCGGAAGGTGAGTCAAAAGAAATGATAGAATATCTTCTTAAAATCCTTAGGTACATATTTATCCATAAGTCATAGTCCATAAATCACAGATGATTCTTTTCATCTCTCCATGCATCCCTCTTTATCAGTCTAAACTATTTCCACACCCCAAAGAAGTTCTGCACAAGTCTGAACTGGAATGGAATTAGTGGATATCTTGATTGATATGATACAGTTTGGAGAAATTGACATAGTCCTGCAGATAACTGGAGCTTCTTGAAAGATACAGCTGGGACTGCAATAAGAGTGAGAGTTGAGACAGCTATGTGAATTTCTAATCAGCTTTAAATAATGTGTCACTCCAAATGCTTTAGGGAAGCAGACCAGTTACAACACCAGGAAACAGAGCATATGAGTGAAAGGTTGATACTTGCACTGAGGGATGTCACTCATATGGGACCTGGTGCTGTTCATTGCATGTATCAGTAACTTAAAAAATGGGATGACAGTGAGATGACGATTCCAGCCAGTAAAGGCAAGTGCTGACCCTGTGGAACTGCAAGATTTTATAAGATTGAGGGACTGGCCAATAAAAAGAACAGGTGAAATTCAGCATAGTTACAAATGAAATTACGACCATGTAGAAAAGCAACCGTAGCTTCACATATGTAATGATGGCCTCATATCTGCCTGTTGCTGATGAGGAATAAAATCATGGATCTGATTGTATGAAAATGTTAACTCAGGCTGGAAAAGAAACCAAGTATTAAGCATTATTAAGAAGGGCATAGGAACAAAACTCTGCCATGTCACTGCATGAATAATTTACCTGCATCTGGAACACTAAATACAGAGAGATTGCTTATTGTCTTGTTCAGCAGGTCAAGGTGGTAGCAAGTAAAGCTACCAAGTGTCATGTTCAAAACAAACAAAAGGTGGTTCTTCATGAAGTGGGGAGTTGACTAGTGGAGTTCCTTGGCACTGACTGCTATGGATATGGAAACTTTACATGGGTTCAAGACAAGACTGAATACATTTATGGCAGGTAGCCTTTCAGAGGTTACAGAATATGTTGAAACTGTAACCATCTCAGGAAATCCTTAAATTGAAAATAGTTGGGGGGCTGGAAAATGACACAGAAAAAACATTGTGTGCTTATTCTCTTTCTTTCATCTGGCATCCAGGTAGGGTCACTGTTAGAGGCAGAATAGCAAGAGAGATGGACTGTTAGTCTCATACCAGATAACCATTTGTATGTTATAAATGTACTTTTCCACTCATCATTGTCATTTGTTATGTATCATTCATTCTTCTGTATGGATTGTCATTCTCCAGTGTCATTCTACCCATTTCTGTCTAATCTGTTAATCTCTTCTTCACTCTTCATATTACCCACCACTTGTCTCTAATGTCTTCCCCAGCACACCATCCATCCATCAGCATCACCCATCTACATACCCTTATATTTCAGTCAGTTTATAATCAGTTGGGAAATTACTTGGGGGAGCAGAAGATTTGATAGTACTCATTTTATTAAATTAGAAGAAAACATTCCCCAGTATGCTACAGCTATGGCATTTGTTTGAACCAAGATCTGCTCTTTTGTCTCTAGGATGTAATGACAATGGATGATGTTCCCTATGACTTCACCGAGAGACAAGTATATGAAGTTGGACAGCAGGTTGCAGCAGCTCTGGTAAGTCTACTCATATTCACTGCATTTTTGCCTTCTCGATTGCAACACAAGTCTGCATGGTGGCCTAAGTCTTCTTGGCCTGAGCAGTGAGGATGTGCTTTGTTAAAACTGAGCCATATATGCTTGCTTTATTTTTGTGAGCATACATGTCTTTCCACAGCATGCAAGACAAGCATAAATCAAGTGAAAATTTACGTCAGTTAAAATTCCTTTTAAAATTATCATGGTCTCTTTGTTTTCCAACTTCCCAGGCTTATCTTGAACAGAAGAAATTGTTCCATGGTGATGTTGCTGCCAGGAATGTCCTCCTTCATTACAACTTCACTGCTAAGCTCTGTGGTTTCGGTCTGGCCTATGAAACTCACACATACGGTGTCAACTCAGTCACAAAGATTGTGCCAGTCAAGTGGCAGGCACCAGAGCGGCTCCTGAAGAACCCCCCCAGCATCAAGGCAGACATGTATGATTTAATTTTTGAACTAGAAGTTCATTTCTTTCACTTCTTTATGTATCATTTCATGTCCTAAAGTTCACAGTAAGTCATATCTACTCTGAGTGTAATGCTCCACTTTATATCTCATACCTTCTCATTTCTGCAGGTTGTGCCTATTTGTATGCATTTAAGCTAGAATTTAGCTAGAATGGAAACTTAACATTGTTTTCTTTTCTTGCAGATGGTCTTTTGGAATTCTGCTGTATGAAATGATTACGTTAGGTAAGAAGAGACAATGATGATAAAAAATATGTAAGGAAGCAGCAAATTAGAAAGACCCCCATCTCAAATTTTAGAATGTAAAGTTGGGCCATTTAAATAAGAATTTTCTTTTTTCCAACTTGCAAAGCCTTGACAATTCCTTTTAGACTTCTTTTCAGTGTGAGTTGTGGCAGGATAAAAAGGATGGATTTTGGTAGGGAAGGAACGCATTCTCACAGGCTGCCATTGGCAACAATTTTCTTATTATAGTTTTTCTATTGTAACTCCTTTTGCCCTTCCAGGTGCTCCACCATATCCTGAGGTGCCACCTTCTGACATTTTACCATACCTTCAGAGAGAGAACAGGATGAAACAGCCCTCAAGCTGCCAGCAAGCCATGTAAGCCACTTCATGGACAATTGAACTTGAGATCTGTAGAGCTAAATGGAAGTGAGACGTACAAAACTAGGTCTTGCAGAGGATCTCTATAGCCAAAACAGTCATCTATTAGCTGAGGAGACTTTTTCTCACGTCTACCACATCTCTTTAGTAGATGCTGCTGCATGGAACCTTGATTGCCAAACCCTTTCTCTCCTGCTTTTGAAAGTTACTCTTTCTGTTCCCTTGTCTGCCCTTGCATTTTGTTGCTCCACTGCTTCCCTGCAAGGTGTAGGACTGTTCTGGATTAATATCTTTCTCTTCTAAGTTGTGGGATCCTCCCTGAAGTAAACAAAACAGCCATGAGTAAGGTCTATGGCATTATATTTCCTTTTATGAAGGCATAATTTATTCTAATTTTAGAGGCTTTTTCTTCTATAATGCTCTTTCAAAAGGGAATACCAAGCAACCTTTTTCCCTTTTCTCTTACTCACAGTTGACATCCTGGCTAGCAACTGTATGCATTTGTCCCCACACAATATTCTGTGGTTGCATATTTCAAGAGTGTCGTTGAAAGAACTTTACATGAAGCAGAAAAAGAGGAGGTCTCTAGACATTTAAAATATGACTGTCGTAAAACTTAGTGTTGGTGGTTCTCATTCCCAGTGCTTCCGTACTTCTCCATCTTACAGGTACAGCATCATGAAGTCCTGCTGGCAGTGGAATGCAACTAACCGGCCTTCTCCAGCAGACCTGATGTGGTCTCTACAAACAGCAATGAAGAACAGCAACGATCATGCAGTACTGCAGGTGCCTGAGCTGGTGGTGCCTGAACTCTATGCTAATGTTGCTGGTGTTGATGTGCTCAATCTAGTGAGGGAATACACTATACTTTGAAGGACCTTGATACATGTTGGTATAAGAGTTCTCTGAGTCTGCCCTTTCTAGACACTTTGCAAGCTCAGGATAAGGTGTGTATGTTGGGAGGAATCCCTTTGTTTTTTGAACATGTTGTATATATGTGATCTCTCCTCCATTCCAGAAACAACAGACTGTTTTCATTATTATGAAATCAACCTGTTGATATCAGTCTGCCAGTGGTCCTTGTTTTTTAGGAAGCTATAGAAAATGTAATGAGAAGCTTGAATTAGAGTGTATTGGGTTTGTGTAACAAGGTTTTGGTAGCAAGAGGACTTCAGGGGTGGCTTCTGTGAGAAGACACCAGAAGCTGCCCCCATGCGTAACAGAGCCAGTTCCAGCCAGCTCCAAGATGGACCTGCCACTGGCCAAATCCGAGCCCGTCAGTGATGATGGTAGCACCTCTGGGATAACGTTTCTAAGATAAGGGTTAAAAAACCCTGTGCAACATTAACTGGAAGAGAGAAACAGCCCTACAGACACAAAGGTCAGTGCCCCAAGGAGGGCAGGAGGTGCTACAGGCTCTAGAGCAGAGATTCCCCTGGGGCTCGTAGTTCAGACCGTAGTGAGACAGGCTGCCCCCTGCAGCCCGTGGAAGTCCACAGTGGAGCAGATTCCGCCTTCGGCCTGCGGGCGACCCCATGCTGCAGCAGTCAGATGCCCGCAGGAGGCTGTGACCCCCTGGGAAGCCCACGCTGGAGTAGGTTTGCTGCAGGACTTGGAACCTGCAGCAGGGGACCCATGCTGGAGCAGTCTGTTCCTGAAGGGCTGCACCTCGTGGACGGACCCATGCTGGAGCAGTTTGTGAAGAATTGTGGGAAGGACCAATGCAGAAGTTCATAAAGGACTATTCCACAACCTCCATTCTCCATCCCTCTGCAGCCCTGGAGAAGGTAGAGAAAATCAGGAGTGAAGCTGAGCTCAAGAAGAAAGAAGTGGGAAGCAGGTGTTTTAAGATTTAGGTTTTATCTCTCATCATCCTACTCTGATTTTGATTGACAATAAATTAAACTGATTTCCCAAGTTGAGTCTCTTTTGCCCATGATGGTAACTGGTGAGTGATCTCTCCCTGTCCGTATCTCAGTCCATGAGGCTGTTGTTACATTTTCTTTCCCTGACCTGTTGAGGAGGGGCAGTGATAGAGCAGCTTTGGTGGGAACCTGGTGTCCAGCCAAGGTCAACCCACCACAAGGAAGTTTCTGGATATCTCTCCCAGTTTTTTCTGTCCCAGGAAATTGCATCAGTTGGATATTCAAAAGAGGAGATGTCCTGGGGAATATGCTATAGATAATGTATAGGAAAAAGTGCACAGAGTAGGTGGTACAAATGAGTAGTTTCCTGTCCATTCACTAAAGACCTATCCAAGACAGTTGTGTTCGTGCCTTTTAAGAGTTCAATAAATGTCTGGGATTTCTCCAGTGCTTTATACTCTAGCTTTCTACGGCAGAATGGGTACTGTATTAAAAAAAACAGACACCAGAAACCTGCATATCTCTGGATGCAGAAGTTGTTAAATTAATGTGTCTTCATGTAGGGTGTACCTTCCCTGTAGTAGTTGTGAGGTCAAGTGACTACTACTCCAAGAAAAAAAGCATATGCTTGGCTCAGGATAAAACCCTTACAGACCTGAATTTCTCAGGGATGGCCTTTAACCAATGATTCCTTTGAGCAGTGCAGGTCATTTGTTCCTGTGCTCCTCTTTTGAGTTGCTAATTCATGGGTTAATTATTTTGGTATTCTGGGGACATCTCTCCAAGGTTACAACAGCTACTGTAAAAACAGTATGGAAATGTAAAGAGTAGACCACATAAGAAAGGTTTGTGTACAGTAAAAATAACATACGATGAGAATAAGCATTCACTGTGACATCGTTGTGTGCTTTATGGTAGGAGTATACCATAGACTGCATTTATCTCTGTGGTGACACCTTTGCTGTATGACTTCTGCATTGAAGATCTGGATAGTAGACATTACCTTCTTAGCTACTCTATGACAAGGGTGACATTATGCAGCATTTTGTGAGGACTGATGATATCAGAGCGACTTCAGGGTCTCACGTATAAACAGCACAGATAACTTTGGTAATCATATGGAGGATATGAATCTGTGCCCAGTGAGCTGCTGAATATGAACTCAAGATTAAGTTTAAAATAATAGCATGAGAAATTCTGTGTATGCAGTTTTCTTGTAAGCTTTTTGTATGCCATGCATTGATCAGTGGATACACTTTAATGTGAGTTCCAGACTTGATTCCACTAAAGATTTCAATGACTGGGCTTGTTGCACTGGTGATTTATGTGAGTGCACATGATTTGACTATTCAGGTTATGAGCAGGCTGTGGCTGTGCCAGTGCTACTGCAGAGAAGTTAGTAGTGCCTGTGATAGGACTTGCCCTAGGACAGCTGATGGTTGAAGTCCCAGTGGAAATACACCTGTGTGTCTTCAGTGTTTACCTAGGAGAGGAGCAAGCGTCTTTAACAAAAAAAAAAAAGTGTGAGTTTTGCTTGTTCAGTATTTATATTTTATAATATAAGCTGCACAAGCCTTATCTGAAAATACTTGGTCATTGATTTTCATGATCATCCAAACTTCGTAAAATATCAGAGGTACTTGAAGCCATAGTGCTGCTGCAGACCTGATGAATAATACACAGTGGTTCACAGGGAGCATTGTTAAATGGAGAGATAAATGTGACAAACGCATCACTGTTCTCAGAGTTCCCTATCTTGTTGCATCACAGAAAGTGATCTTCTGCTTTGCACAAATCCTCATATTTTGTTTCTGTTACCAAAGCTCTGATCAAGGGGAGTATGTGGGAATTCAGGATGCTGAGCACCTCCCAGCCTCTAACAAAATACCTGCTTTAGTTTGCCCAGTGAACAAACCTGTGCCAATACCCTGCTTATGAATTTATCCGCAGGAAGACATTCTTCTGCTGTATGATAAGGTCCAGATTTAATTTCCTTTCAATTAAGTGGCTTGATTATCAATGCGAGCATTCTTATCTTTGATTGCCTTTTCCCCAGGTTAGCTTATATAGGTTTGGAAATGACCCAGTCTGAATTAGATTAAGTGAATTAACACCAACAGCTCTCCTAGGGATAAGGAACTTCTGTCTAGTGCAGGCAGAGAGAAAAAAATATTATGGTTGAAAAAGTGACAACAGACAGAATGCACATACACTAACTATTTCTGCTGCAGTTTGGCTTCACCATGCTTGGAATCTTCCTGAAACCGCAAATAAACAATTACCATTTTAAGTCTTTTTGAACTCTCTGAGCATCCATAGATCTTTTTTCCTGCTACAGTGGCTATATAGCAAAGGATTCTCATTTAAACACACAGAAGAAAGATAATACAGTGCTCTTACTTGCTCTTCTGTGGTCATAGAATTGCTTTTTGGTGAGGGCTGCAGTTCAGTCATGGGACTGGCAATGCCTTTGTTTATGCTCTCTCCAACAGCTTGTGGTTTTATATATAGCAGGTACTGCACCACCAAGAAACAGCAATAATTCGCAAACATACAACCACCCCCCAACTCTCCTAAGACACAAAAAAGTGCTTGTTTTTTCACATTAGTTGGTCTCGTGTTGCAGTGATCATCAGAAACCAGGACATGTATTTATAGAATGCTTTAACAGGTCTTTCTGCCCATGACAAAAGGAGGAGGTGGCTTGGGGTTTTCCTCTTGCCCTGTATTTAAACAGCCCCCATGGTCATCCACTTCTCCAAGACACATTTTATGTTGTGTTTTACAGTAGAGGTGTTGCTCTTCTGTTGCTGTGTCAGCATAGCTTCACACAAAACATGTTATAGCTGTAGGTTAGAAGTTAGAAGCTCATTTACCTTGCTAGCTTCTGATTTTTCACCAGTACTTTGGATCTGGTTTACTTTCCCCTGCTGCCATCACCCTGTGTATTTTGCTCTTTATTTGTCTTTGCTGGAGCAGCCCTTGCTGTCAGAGCTGCTCTGAGGTGGCATCTTAATAACAAGCATCAGTCATACTTCACTGCAGCAGTCGCTCTCACTAAGGCAGGGGAAGTTTTTCAGATGTCAGAACAAAGGGATGTCAAAATAACCCTTGTTACAGGGTTACGGGTGCCTTTACTTCACACAGGTTCAGGAAGAATGCCAACATGGCTTCTGATCCAAGAAACAGGCAGCAACATGGCACCTGAGCAACGGAGCCTGCCCACAGGCTGGTGTTTGCCCTGTTTCCCTCTCGTTGCTGCAGTCGGCTGTGTGCCAGGGCTGACTGGTCTTACCATATCTGCCCTCTGGTCATCTACCTTAAAATTAAGGATTAATGTTGTGAGGCTAGAGGAGGACTTACCTGTACATCTGATTTTATTTAGATGCAACTGTGAATCTGAACAGCATTAAAACAACTCCATGTATCGTGAGTCATACATTTCAGATAACAGTAGTAGCTGTAAGTCTTCTAATATGCTTTGAGCATTCAGATGAAGCCTGCCACATTTAAACTGCTGTAAGAATTGAGATATTCCTGTTTCTCTTTCTGGGTTATCCCACACGTATACTGATTCGGTGGAGTCTTTTATAACCAACCCTTTAGGTCATTGGTAGGTTTCTACTCAGTGTGTAAAACTGATAATTCATAGGCAAAACATTTCTAGTTTGGTGATGGTCATAAAAATGTTTGAGTCTTTTGTGGCTTAGAGCTTGCTACCAGTGATTTTTCCCAGACGTTAATGAACGCTGTTTTGGTTTTCTTATTGCGAACTCATTTGGATTATAATAATTTATCTCAAATCCACCCCCTGCAGGATGCTGTATTTCCCTTTGTGGGTGTGGGGGTGTAGGGATGTCCCATTTTGTCCTTGGAAGCTTATTTTAATTTCTCTTTGTCTTGCGGTTCTCCCCTACAGATCTTGTTCCCAAGAGTCTCATAGGAGTATGCAGCAAGCCAGCCTGAGCTGCCATCACTGACTTTTAGCAACAGTGTCTTGAGTACTATACCAAAACTTTTCTTCATTTAATATCACACAGAAAAATACAGTAACTCTTATTTTGCACGACATCAGCAATCCTGTGAGTGTAATGGAGTTATTAAATATCCAGCAAAATAGCTGGATTTCATAGAGCTCTTTGGTAATCCAAGGGTTTGTGTACAAAACATACCAGTAAGACAAAGGTGTCCAGGAAACATGCTTGGTATAGCCCATGATGGGACTTCTGCATATTAAAATAATCACATTTCTGCACTTTGTTCCAAAAGAAGTAGTGAAGGCAGAAGGCTTGAAGACCTTATCCTCTGGAGAGGTGGTTAAAATAAACACATCTGAGGCAGAGTTGTGCAGAAAAGCTTTAAAAGGTTAGCAGGGTAGCTGGAACTAGTATTTTTTAAATACTGGAGACAAAATGTGTGCTTGCCTTGTTCTGTGTGGCAGCGGCTTCTTTTGTTCAAAGGTTATAAAACCTGCTAGATACAGTTAATGGCTGGGGAGAAATAGCTGACTTTGGCCAATGTAGCCTTGTGAAACCAAGAGAAAAGATCATAGTCTTGTCTTTAAGATGTGCGCACAACATGAAAGGTGTGTG